GAATCAAGTGCACACAGGCACTTCCCGAGTGTTCTGCACACAGCTACACTCAATCCCGAGTATCTCGCACAAAGCTATACTCCCGAGTATCTTGCACAAAGCTATACTCCTACACCAACTAAGTGTCTTGCACCCAGCTACACTTAGTACCACCAAGCGTCTCGCACACAGCTACACTCAGCAACCACGAGTGTCTCGCACAAAGCTACACTCACGAGTGTCTCGCACAAAGCTACACTCAACAGGGTAGTGTCTTGCACAAAGCTACACTCAACCCTCTTTCTACACACAGTAGAGGTAAGTTTAAGAGAAAACAAATTTCTCTTCTAATGACTTGAAGAATCTCTTGTGTAAGCTCAAACTAGATATTTCAAATTTTTCTCTTTGTGTATTGCGTTGCCTTCTCTGCTTCATGTGTTCAAGTCTTCTTGGTATATATAGCTGAAGAAGCTATACTACCGTTGTAGCATTAGTTGATCTTGATCGTTCATTTTGATCAGCTACACATTATTGCCAACTTGCATTGCGATGATTTAATGCAAGAGATGGGCTTCCATAGTGAGTTTGAAAATCCTCACCTGACAAATCTTCAAAAGTCATACATATTGGCTCATCAGCTGAATCTTCTCCGAAAAATAATTACCCTATCTTGACGGATTCAAAATGATGAAATCTTCCAAAACTCCGAAAAATAATTACCCTATCTTGACGGATTCAAAATGATGAAATCTTCCAAAAGATTTTCTGCTGATTCTTGCTTGAGTAAAAATTATATCTTCGTCCAAGAAGATGTGTAGAAGAATTCACGTGCATCTTTCTTATCATGTCCACAAGCTTCCAAACTTGTAGTCAAGTTTAGTATGACATGTGTCCACATTGTAGCATGCACCTAACAACTGTCATACTTATAAAGTATGCTTCCAATGGGATTTGATCACGAGCCTAATCAAATTTGTCTTCCAAGCTTGTAAAACTACGCTATATTAACTCATTGGTTAATATTTCTGGATTTAATCTTTATTCCCAGAATGGCTCTAATAGTATTTCACATTAATTCGTAGATTAATCCGAGTCTGGCCCTTGGTCGTCCCCATCAGCCCCTTCGTCGTCCCCTTCTCTATCTCTTACATAAAAATGTAAAGATTGAGTCTTAAACCCATGACCTCTGACTTTAGTCACCTTGTTCCTTATCCACTTCACCGCTTCATCCTTTGGTGTTTTCTAAGGTTAATAAATCTGAAATAGTAACTTTCTGGATAAGTATATTTTGCTAAGAATTTTGTAGACTTTTAGGCTTGACTTGGGACTTAGGCTAATAGACAACTAGGCTCAAAATAAAATATGGGGGTTCTAAAAATACAAATTTGGCTCATCAAAACTATTACATTTTATTCCTAACATTTTCTATTATATCTTGGTGAAGGTGTTCCATTTTCCAAGTGTTAGATTTATTTGTAGCACGTGCATTTACACTGGGTTTTTCGTCTTCAGGACGATTTTGGAGTAACTGTGATTGTTTATTGTGTTTAGTTTTCCGCAGATTTAAATCTTTGGCACCAACTGGTCTTCCATGCTTCTGGCATTGGGTAGTGTCGGTACTAGTATTTGGTCCTTTGGGGACAATTATTCTTGATGGAGCATTTTTTACAGGAATATAGGACCTAGTTACTCCTTTATAATCAGTAAACACATTGGCAGATTATTTGCTAGTCTTTGCAAATTTATTATTTCCTGAGCTTCAAGTTCAGTTTGGTTAGTACGTGGGTCAAGATATTGAGGATCTTTTTCATCCCATGAAATTTCGTGGCATTTTTTCAAAGCTGGGTTTTTCTCTCCCCTTAATGCCGGGAAATGATCTTCATCAAAAAATGCAGTCAGCAAACCGTGCAGTAAACTGATCTGATGTCATGGGCTCGAGGTATTTAATGATAGAAGGTGATTCATACCCAACATAAATACCTAACCGACGCTGCGGGCCCATCGAAGTACGATGTGGAGGTGGTATATATACAAAAACTGCACAACCAAAGACACGCAAATGAGAAATGTCTGGCTCATTACCACGTACAAGTTGTAGATGGGAGTAATTGTGAAATGTAGTTGGCCGGAGTTGGATTAGATTTGCAGCATGCAACACTGCGTGTCCCCAATAAGTGACAGGTAGACTGGACCGTTTTAGTAATGGTCTAGCTATTAGTTAATTCTTTTGATAAGAGATTAAGCTAAACCATTCTGGGTGTGGACGTATGGTACAGGATGTTCCACCTTAATTCCCATGGCCATACAATAATCGTCAAAAGCTGACGAGGTGAATTCACTAACATTATCCATGTTTATGTTCTTAATAGGATAATCGGGGAATTGAGCATTCAACCTAATGATTTGGCTCATGAATTTTGCGAATGCCATATTTCGAGTGGACAACAGGCACACATGTGTCCATCGGGTGGAAGCATCAATAAAGACCATGAAATATCGGAATGGTCTGGATGAAGGATGAATTGGTCCACAAATATCACCCTGTAGCCTCTGCAGGAAGACATGTGACTCAAAATCAATCTTAAGATGCGAGGGCCGAACAATAAGTTTTCCCTGTGCACACGGAACACATGTGTAATCTTTTGTAGAAAAAATGTTGGTCCTAAGAAAGTTATGTCCAGTTGAATTTGAAAGTATCCGGCCTATCATAGTTTGCCCAAGGTGACCTAAGCAGTCATGCCATAGACTGAAAGAATGTGTATTTTTTAATTTCACTGCGAGTGCAACGCAGGAGAGTTGGGGCCTGATATAGAAATAATACAGGCCTGAAGAAAAGGAAGGAAGTTCTTCGATTTCCTTTTTCTGGTTATTGACCGTTTTGGTCAAAGCAAGGAATTCGGTATCGTTTTTAGTTTTGGTTTCTATGTGGAAACCGTTGGGCCGAATATCCTTGAAACTAAGCAAAGTTCTTTTTGATTGAGGGTATAGGAGGACTGAATCAATTATCAACTTTGTTCCATTAGGAAGAATAGCCGGAGCCCACAATAGGAATGTCATCATTCGCTATGGTTGAAAGGTTGCCTTTGTGTTCCTTGAACGTTTGGAAAAATCTTCAGTATGTCAAAATAATGTGCGTAGTTGCACAATCAACCAAGCATAGGGTTGATTCATCTTCTATATCTCGTTCATTGGAGAAAATCGGGAGCGTGCAGATTACGTGTTGGAAGATTTTATGCCCGTTGGCCCGTTAGCTCCTAACCGGTAGATTTGCAGGAAGAAATAAAAGTACAGTATGGAAGTAGAGAGAATATGAAGACACCAAAAAGAATCAACACTTGTGTTATGAAGAATCAAGCTTTTATAGTACAAAGTGATGTCTGTTACAAATCATACATAATGGCTAATCAATATCATTAAAGGGGAATAATGTCCATAAATAATATATTTTGTAAAAATATGTATATAATAATATATAAATTAATATTATCATATTATACCTATATGTAATTCTGGAATTGACAGTTACATGCCTTCATATGGAAATAACTATTATATAAATAAATATTCCGCCTTTTAATAGACTATTTTTATATATAGTAATTAATTTCATAATTACAAATAAAAATACTGTAATTTTGCATATTCTCTATTTAGATAGATTAACAGAATTAATCAACTGTAAGAGATTACTGATTGATTCAGTTACGAAGTCAGTCAGTAATAATAAATAGTGGAGAAGATGTAACAGAAAGATAAGAGCACAAACCCAACGACACTGAATATTTAACCAGTTCGATACAGTGTGTATCTACGTCTGGGGGACGATCACATAGGCGTCCAATCCACTAAATCATAATCCAATGTACAAAGGTAGATATAAAACAATCTTACCCAAGTGCCCCACACAAGGTACATACCCAGTCTACACAGGTTTAGTGGATTGTTGAAGATGGAGAGCCATGCATACAGAAGTCCAATGAAATCCCTTCACTTGGAGAGCCCACTCTGATGCAGTCCACTTCAATGACGCTCTTTATAGTTGTTCCCACAACAGTGTGATCACAGTGTCCTTTCGTTTAAGCAGCAGTGATTCTTCTCAAGTTCATCATCTTAATCACCATGAACATATTGCATTGAGAAGATACATGACAATCAAAGATCTAATCTCATATAGCAGATGGGGAGTGTTTCTTCATATATTCGGCGTAACCCTAAATCTCTTCGAGTGAGGGTACTTATAGATTCTTCAATAAACTCTCTCCATAAAAGACTTTGATTGTAGAAGGTAGGACTATAAAAGAGGAATGTAATCTCAGAAGATTAGGTCCATACCTTCCTTGAAAATATACGCTGATCTTCTTTCCAAACTTGTCTGATAATACTGCGTAAGACTTTTAGAAATCAGCTTCCTAAATCAGATCTTCAGTGTCAGTCCTTCTGTTGTTGCTTCTAATTGATCAGTCGTCTGTAGTGCTGGACGGACAAACTCTAAACCTATCTTAGTATGCCATAATAATATTGCCAATTATAATATGGGGTTTTTGAACATTTAAAAACACTAACAAACTCCCCCTTTGGCTATTATTTGGCAAAACAACTCGACTATATAGATAGACAAAATATAAAGATCTAAGATAGGTTATTATAAAGAAGCAACCCATGAGTCTGATCTGATTACATAGAACAAAAACAAAAAAACATAAGATCCAAAACAGTTTATGATCAAAAGCAAGAAATGGTGTCATAAAAAACAACGCCCAGCCAGGGCCAGAAGGTACTCAAACATAAAAACTCCCCCTGGGTTCATACTACTCCCCCTTTTTTCCAATGATAGCCAAAGGTCAAGCATTGGAGGGAGTGTCACTGTCAGACTTCGCATGATCAGCAGCAGCAGCAGATTCAGATAGGCTTAAACGAAGAAGTACGGTTGCCAGCTCAGTACGGGCCCCTGTCAGTTGCTTTGCAATAATGCTATGTACTGTCTCAAGATCAGCGACCCTTGCCTTCAACTGTATGGAAAGCTAAACATCCTTAGCATGAGGAGAGTCATCAGACACAGCATCAGGTTCATAATTAGATGGGGCAGATACAGGGACAACATCCCGAATGTGATCTCCAGTCAGCAGACGTTTATCAACAGTATAGAGCAGTGTTGGGCTGATCACCTCACTGGGCATAGGCTCGATACCCTGAGTGGTAAGAATGCCAAAAATCAGATTTGGGAAGGGTAGTCTTACCTTCTGTTCCCGTGGATGAATTAAGGTAAGAATGTGATAGTAAATCCATTTTCCCAGATCAAGTGGCATCTTTGTTCCAATGCGAAATAAGAAGCCTGCCAGTAACTTGCCAACGATGTGGAAATGGGCTGATGGGAGCCAATTGTGAAGGGCCAGCCGATGTAGAATCACATATCTGGATGTGAGATGCGAGCTCTGCAGATAGTCCTTATCTCCTGTAGGCCATGATTTCGTCTGTCCACCAGTAAGAGTTCTGGCCACCAAGTTCCAGTCAGTGACGGGGTCTTCTTGCACAGCAGTCAAACCATAGTATTCATTGATCATGTCAGGCCCAAAAACGTACCACCTTCCTCTGATGAAAATCTGCATCGGTCGTAGCCTAGATAGGATGTCAATCTCGTCATTGAGATTACAATAGAATTCATACGTGAGAAGCTTAGAGTATGGGCAGATGTTCGTGACAGTCTTCAACAATCCGACTTCATTCACCAAAGGTAAAATGTCACATACAGAATGCAGTTGGTTCTCATCCACAGATCGTTGAACAATAAGATCCCTTTTAACCAGGGTAGACCATTTGGTCTGAGCAGCAGGAGAAACAAACTGAGGCATGTAAACAGATGGATCAGTTTCTTCGACAGGTTGAACCTCAGGATTAATGCTTCGTCCTCTTGATCGTGTGGATGGCTTCCCTTTTTTGACAGATGGTGCAGGTACAGAAGTAACTTGAACAGCAGGCCCCTTTTGCTTAACAGACGATCGCAGAGTCTTGAACACTTGTTGAATAGGCGGATTTTCTTCCGGCTTAACACCTTCACTCGACTTCCTTTTCTTCTCAGGCTGATCCACATCAGCACTGTCATCACCAGTCTCAACAACAACCTTTACTGGAACATTCTTCCTTTTAGACCTTCTTGTTTCTTTGGATGGGGATTGAACAGGAGTCACAGAATGACTAGAATCAGAAACATTGGCAGATGAGCTCCCAATAATATTCGAAATTTCTCAAATTTTGAAGGCCGTGGAGTCAGGATGAGCAGTGGCCTCAATAGTTGGAATGTCAAATGGAAGTGTTTGAGATCCATACACTTCAGCCAGTATTTTATCATCTTCGCTGGAAGATTCGGAAGGGTGAATCACTTGATACGGTTGAGGGATTGAAGCAGAAGGTAGACCAGCAAAATGTCGCACATGTTCCAAACTTTCTCCTAATGATGTGGCAGTGTAGACTGGATTCCACCTGTTTTCTCAGACTTGTGGGGGCTTGATAGATCAACAGATTCAACATTAGCAGGTAAGACATGAGTGTCAACTACAGTACAGACTTCCTTAGGGTCATCAGCAATTTCAGCCGGAGGCAGAGAAACATTATCAGAAGCGTAAACAACTAAACTCAATTTATTTGGCTCATCAGAGGACTTTCCTTTCTCATCAGACACATGCAAGACATCAGTTTTCACACCAACAGACTCACTCACAAACAGAGATGTAGAATCAACATTCACAGGGGGATTCTCGGAATCCAAAGCAGTTAAATTTTCCGAAATAACAGGCACACAAGATGGGGTAGCAGAAACATCAGGTTTATCTGGTGAAATTTCAATAGGAGTTTCAAAATTGTTTGACCTGTTTCGGAGGATCTCCTGTCTGTGTTTTGCCTCTTTCTGAGCAGCTTCGAGATACAGAGGGTGCGCCTCCGCTTGCCGTCGAGAGACCTCAACCAATTCTAGGGCTCGATGTGTAAAGTATTAAAGGAATGCCCCGGCCCGATTTCCATCCGAGGGTTCTGGAATATATACTGGAGAAACTTCATCACTGGCTTCAGAAACCATCATAAGCAGTTTAGTCGCATCATCTTCAGACCATTCTGCATAAAACTCTGGGTAATAGGTCATCACAGTTACTAAAATCTCGTCGCGAAGCAGAGGATCAAGTTTGAGCTTCTTCTTCATAGCAAACTGCAATAGCGTCTGAATGTGCTTAAAGGCCACCTCCGGAGAATGTGTCTTGCTTCCGAGCTTGATGATGATATTTCTTACCGGGTCCGCCATTGGAGAAATTTTTGTGAGAAGAGAGAAATACAATTCTGAGAGCAGATATGCTGAGAGAGAAAGGGTTTGAGTGCTGAGATGTTTGAAAGCCTATTCTCTTTGTGGCCCGGTATCAAATAGACTAAAGGGTGAAGAACCCTAATCAATGCGGCTTGTCAAATATCATGCAGACGCGATTGATTGACACAACGGTACAGCTTCTTTCTAGGAAGGAAACGGAACCCAAGGACATTTGAATTTTGAAAAAAGATTAAAATCTTTTTGAGATATCATTAAGGCCAAAATAACACCACTTAACTAAAATAGAGAGAAGTCTTCAAAAAATCAAATCGTAATACTGACCCGTGTACACCACTCCTCTCTGATTGACCAACTGCTTTAATTAGTCAATTCTGCAAATTCCCAGAGCAGACCTGAGAATTTCAAAACGATTGGCGTCCAGTGGCTTAGTTAGGATATCCGCCAGTTGTTTGTCAGTTTGAATGTATTCCAATTCAATTTCCTTGGATTCAACCAAGTCTCTGATGTAATGATGCCTGATGTCAATATGCTTTGTTCTGGAATGTTGAACTGGATTCTTGGAAATATTAATAGCACTGACATTGTCACAATAGAGTGTCATTATCCCTTGAGTGAGACCATAATCTAGGAACATCTGTTTCATCCAAACCAACTGAGTACAACATCCTCCTGCAGCTATGTATTCTGCCTCTGCAGTGCTTAGCGAAATTGAATTCTGTTTCTTGCTTAGCCATGATACTAAGTTTTTACCAACAAAGAAACATCCCCCGGAAGTACTCTTTCGGTCATCAATATTTCCTGCCCAATCAGCATCACAGTAGGCAACCAGACTTAGTTCACTGTCCTTGGAGTACCAGAGACCATACTACATCGTTCCTTTAACATATTTTAGAATGCGTTTTGCAGCTATCAACTGTGATTCCTTTGGGTCAGATTGATACCTTGCACAGATTCCAACACTGAACATTATGTCTGGTCGACTGGCTGTTAGATACAACAGACTCCCAATCAAGCTGCGATAAACTGTGTTATCCACTGATACACCAGTTTCATCTTTCGATACTTTTGTGGAGGTGACGATTGGTGTCCTAGATGATTTACATGATTCCAGATCAAAATTTTTAACTAGATTCTTAACATACTTCTCTTGTGAAATAAAGTATCCTTCAGGACTTTGCTTGACCTGTAAACCTAGGAAGTATGTCAGTTGACCAACCATGGACATTTCAAACTCTTCCTTCATCACTTTTACTAACTCGTCAATGTATTTCTGTAAGGTTGATCCAAACACGATGTCATCAACATAGATTTGGGCAATGGTTACATGACTTCCAGTAGTTTTTACGAACAGGGTTTTGTCAACACTACCTCGTTTATACCCATGCTGGAGCAGATACTGTGTTCGTTCATACCATGCCCGTGGAGCTTGTTTGAGACCATAGAGAATTTTTCGAAGCTTATAGACATATGAGGGATGATCTGGATCTTCGAAACCTTTAGGTTGAGCCACATAAATATCTTCATGGAGATAGCCATTAAGAAATGCTGTTTTGACATCCATCTGTATCATTTATGAGGTTTGTCTCTTGATCCGAGAATAATGATAAATTAAAAGAGAATTTAAATAAACAAGTAATTTAACTGAACGAATAAAGCAATGAAAATAATATATCGAAAACACTTATAATAAGAAACCTTGGTTAGTAAAGATCCACCACCGGAATTTAACACTGATCATTGATTAATAAAGTAATTAATATGCAATTGAATATTTGTCGTGAAATTATTTCATTTCCGTTTTCCCTTAGTTGTAGGTAACTAAAGCACACGCGGTTTAATTACCCCTAACTACTAAATAACCTAAGACAAGCGCTATAGATTTAATTTAATAGCAGCAATAGGAACTAGGAAAACTGACAAACTAAATAACACAAGCACAAGCGGTTGCATTTAATTTAGGAAAATATTCTTCCCGAGTCCAATTATCACTAAGCCGTCAATAATTAACCCAGTTGCTACTGAATATTAGAATAATTTGTAGCACAACATTATCTAATATAGCAAATAATTATATCAAGTAAATAACTAGTAGGCCTCCCTAGCAATTAAATGATACAACTATTCAAATAACTTAGAAGAATATTTAATACCCAAATGCATAAAAATTATATAATAAAAATAAATAAATAATCTTACAGCATAATCAATTCCGGAGCTTCAATTCACTAAACCAACCTAGAAGAAAATTAGCTGCGTAGAGCCATTGATACGAGAAGAATATATGTATATATTGTGAGAAAAAGACAAGCTATTTGTCCTTACAAAGCAATAAGCTATTTATACTAATCATTGAGAGATTAATGCGGATGTGTTTGTGGCCGTGCTACGTGGGTGATGCCGCATAATTTGGCGAGTGGAAGATGGAATTGACATGCTGCTCGGTGCTGCGCCATTTACGCATGAAAGAAAGAAAGAAACAACAACATATAATGTTAGTTTTGCTTTGGACGTACGTCCCTTTGTTAATAAAATAATTGGACCCTAATTAACATTAACATATTTAACTAAATAGCATTATAAAACATTTATTTAATTAATTAATTATTAAACTCTAAAAAGAAATAATTAATATATAATAGTAAATAATTAATAAAAAAAATATTATAAAGATGTACCTAAAATATAGGTGTAAAATACGCCTATCACTTCCTCATGCCTAATTTCATTTTCTTTAAATATTGGCTACAGAGTATGGATCTGAAGGCATAGTGTCGAAAAAATGGGACGTCTACAGTTATGACATCTTATTGATGGAAACATTCACAAGGACAAAGCTTAATAATTGGATTCTTTTTGAAAATCTGAGCGTAAAGGTTTGGGTTAAAGACTCAATGCCTAACCGAGTAATTGATACAATTGATGCAAATTTACTTGCCTCAGATGAAGAATCCTCGAGTGAAAAAATCAAGTGTTCGTCATGTATCATGGAATTGGCCTTGAGGTGTTGTTTTGAATCTCCAACAGAAAGAATTTGCATGAAGGAAGTGGTTGCAGCTTTACAAAAGATTAAATGTCAATTTGCATTCCCTATATATATAGTTACGTTGTAAGTGATTGTTGATTCTCAGTTACCTTTTAATTTTATTATTTTCAGTCTTTGATCTCTGGATGTTTGTGTTTCACGTTTGATCTTTGGAGTTTGTGTTTCACGTAATGTATTTTATTTTTTTGGGTTCAGAACTGGAACCGACTGTTCTGGTTCGCGATTTTAATAAACTGAAACCCAAATATTGTGTTTTGGTTCTAAATTGTAAATCGAACCTTTCGGTTTGGTTGCTATAGTGTCTATTCTGTTTGAACCAAACCGTGGTCATAATTTGTTAAAAAAGAAAACTAAATGAAATATGTATTTTAAGAATAAAAATATCCATGTATAATATCAAGAGAAAAACCGCCAGTTTTTGAATAATTGAGGAGCTCATGTAAATACATGAATAATTCAGCGGGGAAATGTGCTGTAAGTATATTCAAGAAGAAAATGTGTTATTTATCTCAAAAGTTAAAGAAACAAATAGCATGTCTAACATTACAATGCGACTAATGGAAAACAACTCAAAGTGAGTCATCGACCATTAAGCCAAATAGTAATATCAATTAGTTTGTTTAACTTATGTCTTTATTGTTAGTAATAATAATGTATAATGTTATATCATATACTTTATACGTGTGTGGCTGTAGTTTATTTGGTTTAGTCTAGCCTACATTTTAGGAGAGTATTGTGTTAGCTTTCCTATAGGTCTCTATCTTGTTGTAATATCTTATAACTGAAATCATTTTGAATTACGTTTTCTCATCTGGTATCAGTTGCGTTACACTTCCATCCTGATTTTCCTCCCCAAAATACGATGTCAACTAACTCTTCCGAGTGTACGGTGACCACCACCACCGTCCCCGCTCTGGCTACCACCAATTCCCTCACCACCGCCCACCACATTGTTTTGATGAAACTCACAACCAGAAATTTCCTGTTCTGGCGTACGCAGTTAGTACCGTTCCTCCGCGGTCAGGGATTGCTTGGATACATCGACGGTTAATTCCGGTGTCCTCTGGCCACTGTCACTGCCATACCACAGTACGACGACTCCACGGCAGTTGCTATCAGCTCCACCACGACGCCGAACCCAACCTACACTACATGGATACAGCAGGATCAGTCGAATCTTTCACTACTTATCTCATCTCTATCCGACGAGGTAATGTACCTCGCTGTTGGTAGGAACACCGCCCGGGAAGTGTGGCTCTCCATCACGTCGGCTTTGGCATCCTCGACGCGAGCTAGGTGTCTGAACCTGTTAGGGCAGTTTCAGACGCTCCGGTAGGGCAATGGATCACTGGCAGAATATCTGGGAAGGGCGCAATTGATTGTTGAAGCCCTATCCCTCGCTGGCCGACCGCTCTCTTTGGACGAACATATTTTGTATGTCATCCGAGGGCTTCGGCCGGAGTTCCATGCAATGGCGAGCTCTCTCACCGTGTCTGGCACTCCCATCACGCTACCACAGCTGTCTGATTTATTGCAGGCCTAGGAGTTTATTAATTCCGACGAGTTTCCGGCGGTAGACCATCCAGGAGCCACTGGTTCTCCAACGGCTTTCTTTGCTGGCTGTGGTCATCAACAAGGCGGCAATCCTAATTCTGGCGGCCGGTAGTCTTTGAATGGAGGGCACAGTCGCGGCAGAGGACGCGACAGAGGTTGTCGCGGCGGAGGGCGAGGTGGTGGCACTCCCCAGTGTCAAATCTGCTGCTCTCATGGCCACACCGATGTCTACTGTTACAGGAGGTATAGTGACAGTCCAGCTCCCCACGCCAACATGGTCGTTTCCGGCGAGAACCCTACGGATGCAACACCGATGGACGCGTGGTATCCGGACATGGGTGCTTCGTCTCACGCAACACCGGACGAACAGATGCTAAGTCAC